CAAAAGCTGTGCACACAAGCAAAGCAAAACAAGGAATGCACTCAGCACTCACCATCAGCAGGCAGGTGTTCACCCATCTCCAGGACAGCAGGGCTACATCACATAGCAGTTACTTGGGAAGCAAAAGCACCATAACTCTGAATATGCCCACCTTCCTTTTTCTTCCCCCTTCTTTATATGCTGACCATGATGCCATATGATGTGGAATATCCCTTTGGTCAGTTGGATTCAGCTGTCCCAGCTGTGTCTCTTCCCAATTTCTTCTGCTGGCTGGTGGGTAATACAGCTTAAAAGACCCCTGGTTTATAAACCCTGTTTCCAGCACAAGCCTAAAACGTAGCCTTATAGCAGCTACTATGAAGAAAATTAACACTACCCCAGCCAAAACCAGCAGAAGCATACCAGACAGAGAAATCTATGAGTCCAGATGGGATGCACTTAAGAGTGATGTGGAAGCTGCTTGATGTCATTGTGAGGCCACTCTATCATCATTGAAAGATCATGGTGATCAGGAGAGGTTGATGGTGTCTGAAAAAGGCAAACATCATGCACATCTACCAGTAAGGCAAAAAGGAGGATCTGGAGAAACACGGGCTGGTGGCTGCTGTGTAATTTTTTGTATGGAAGTCCTTCTGTACTTTTAACCAGTCTTTTGCAGTCGCTATATATACACAACTAGTGGCAAAACAATTGCCTTTATTTTATCCTATATTTCTGTCTAAATAATTCCTGACACTCAGTTTGCCTTTTCTAACCTCTACTGAGCATCTGGCAGCAATTACAGGCACTTAGCCGTCCTCTGATTAGAAACAATAGTAGCCAGCAATTACACCGAGTTCTTACTCTCTTTCCCTGAAAGAAGTGAACCTCTTCTGATTGCTGTTTTCTGAAATTTTATGATCCTATTTGATCTTTCCTGGCAGCTATTTATAGATTATTGGCTTCATTTCAGAAACACAGCTCTTCTCTATCATCTTTGGAGTACATGCTCCTCAAGTGCAGTTGGAGCAAGGTAGCGGGCTGTTTGGAAAGGTGGTCAGCAGATGCAGTACGTACTGCCAGGCAGGCCACTGTTTTGGGAAAGCATTATTTTTACTAGTACTTGTCAGAAAGAAATCTAGTCATGAAATACTCTTTCATCCATGGGACTCCCTCTTAGGTACCGGGGCTAAGAGGCAAAGCCAGAAGAGAAAATTGCACTCTTTCTACAGAAAAATAGAAGATTGAAGTCTTTGGTAGTTTGGAGTCCAGAAATTTTTGTCATAATGCAAAAGATATGTAATATCATGTAATATCATAATGCAAAAGCTAGGTATCCAGTGAAATGTATAGAAGAAAGGAAAAAAATAGGAGTGACAGGCATAAGATGTCAGAGCAGAAACAATCTGTTTATGGTCTATCTTACTACCTGTGACTGACAGATAAGCTTGAAAGAGTTTTCATATTGTGCCATGTAGTTTAAGTCTTTATTGAATTACACATAATTGTACAGTTAACATGCTGTCCCTGAAGAATAGCCACAAGCAGGTTGAAAGCTTATGAGTAAGATTTAGACTTGATAGAAGAATTTTTTTTTTTGATGATGAGGGTGTTGAAACACTAGAACAGGCTGCCCAGAGAAGTGGTAGATGCCACATCCCTGGAAACATTCAAGGTTCAGTTGGACGGAGCTCTGAGCAATCTGATGTAGTTGAAGATGTCCCTGCTTATTGTGCAGGGGGCGGAGGGGGGGTGGTGTGTATGAAGATGATCTTTAAAGGTCCCTTGGTTCCAACCCAAACTATTCTATGGTTCCATGCTAGGTTATAGTGTTACATTACATTACCTTTACTGGCTCTTCAAACTGTATGTTTAAGTATCTCCTTATTCATGAGAAAAAATAGCTTACATTTACTGTGTTGTGTGACTTAATCTTGTGTTTTAAAGATTGCTATTTAAAAGGTTGTTTTTCATTATATACACATAAGGAAATATATATATTATATCTATATACACACTAGAGATAATTGCTGTATACTTTGGTACTTTTGTTTTTATTTCAAAACAAGCCCAAAAGATTTCCATAAAATTAGGGTGCTTTGTTTAGATCCAGACTGATCACGCTCACTGTCCTCAGATGAACAGAGAACTAGTCGTATTTTAGCATGAGTCAGCAGCTCATTATCCATATAATTTAAATCGTAATGAATTTACTGTAGGATCTATCATTACTTCTACCTGAGTCTGTAGCACTGGATTTTGCAAAATCCTGGTCATTATTGTTTCCCATTGACTTGGCGTTGGAATGAGGCCTTGAGTGAAACAAACTACTTTTCTACATTTTGCTACACGATTACTTTGTAGTTACAGTACTTTGTAAAATTTGGTATTTTTCTTCCCTTCTACAGTTATGTCAATAAGCTCTGTTTCTCAGCTCAAGAGAAGGCTGTTGTGTGCTTCTGAAGTGTAATGGGTTGGAAATTTAATGTCAAAAGAAAACAGAGTAATGAAAACTGACTGCAGTAGCAATTCAAGATTCTGTGGTGTGTAACACTTACAGAATCAGTCTGTTAAAAGACTCTCGAAATCTCCCCAAAAATAGAGGCGTTTACGTCTGGGGTTTTAAGTCTGGTGTAAACCACTTTTTTGCTATTAACTTGATCAAAACTAGTCATTTCTACAAAGAAAGGATAAAAATGAGTTTCTCCTGCCATATCACCAGTGCCTTTTGTGACAATGTGTTGTATTTTCATTTAAGTGAATCTCTTCTTAGCATCTACAAAAGAACTATTTGCAGTCCCCCTCCTTTTCTGTTGAACAAGTTATGTGTGTAGTTAAAGCATACTGAAGTAATACTTGTTTCTACTGGGAATGGGAATCAGAATGTTTATGACTTTTTGTTTGCACTTGTATAGTTCCCAACACTTGCTGGTTTTCCATGCCATGAGACAGGAAATTTAAATGTTACAAACATGAAAGAAATCCTACTGACATGATAACTGATAAGCAATGGAAACCAAGTTGTATTCAATATTCAAAAAATATTGTTTTGATCTTCAGTAGTCTCTCTGGTCCCCTTCTGTCACTCATTCCTGTTTTGTTGGGTTTTTAGTTCAATATTTCACAGCCCGTCTCAGCTAATTAGGATTAAATACCTCTGATTTGTAGGCATTTAAATGTCAGCCTTTCTTCAGTCCTGTTGGTTTAGAAATCTGTTCAACAACATTAGCAACATACTGTTTTGCTGGTAAATAGAAGGTAACATTGAGTAGGGCCAGTGCTTCCTGTAAAGTCTTCATTTTTTACTCAAATTCCAGCAAGAAGCAGTGGGTGATTACAAACTGAACAAGAATAAGCTCCAACATTGTGGCTTGGTGTATTATGTTTGCTATAAATTAGCAAGTAACCAACCTGATTTCTTGCCTGTCAGTCTGACAGTGTCCGTATGCACCTCAGTTTGTAGGAAGAGGATATGTTAGTGCTAAGAACTTACTTTTAGTACAGAGTCATCCCAAATGCTGACCTGCACACTTTCATTTTGAAAGGATCTAGTATGTCTTTAATTTCTTAGGGCTGGGCCAGTTTTGAATTTATGTTATTCTTTTGGACTGCTACTTAATTATAGGAAAGTAGCTATGTAGTCTTCTAGGATAGTCAGAAGCAGTTTTCTACTTTTAGAGTTATTTTGCTGTCAGAGCCTTTCCCCAGCTTCTACCTTGTTGGTAATACTAGCATTAGACACTAGGTGGTAATCGTCTTCTGGTAAGCTCAGCACGCACTTCACTATGTGAAAGGTCTTTTTTTTATTGCTATTTTTGCACCACTGAAAGACTATAATGCATTTATTTCAGAATCAAAAAGGTAATATTTTTGTTTGCTTAGTTTGTGTTGAGTTTAGTTGGATACAAAATTCTAGAATTTAGTGTGTCAATAATTGTTTACCTAGCCATTACCTCAGCTGTTGCGGTTATTGTAAAAGCTGAAAGGTCATTGCTTGTTACAATTTTCTCAGAAATATTAGTATGTAAAATTTCTTACTTAGTTTCAGATATAGCCAATTGACATCATCGTGTCATCATCCCCCCTGTCTTCCTGTCCTGTCCCGTCCCATCCCGTCCTCCCCTCCCTTCTTTGTGGAGAGTAGTTCATTAAAATACCTGTAGTTATTGTTGCCACGATTTAAATTATAAATCATGTTATTTTAATCTGAAATTCTTTGGATGATCCCCATTTATTTATGTTTTGTAAGCAGATTTTTAAAAATCTTTTAAAATAAAGAGGCTAAGTATGTAAAATATATATTCCCTAGTAGATCTTACTGAAGCAATACCACAGTTACTGCTGAGGCTGTTGTTAAAATCATATATCTATATATATGTTTTGACATATTTCTGTATTTCTCAATGTAGAAAATGTGAAACCATTCATGTTTGAGGACAATGTTGGTTTCACATGTTTTTTTCACTATTTGCCTCCAGCTCCTGCTAAAAGATAATGTCCACTCAGTGCCAGAATGGCCTAGTAGATGCTTTTTGCTTCCTTATTTAGGAACTTGAAGTAGCTGCAGGGATTGCTGCAGAGGGACTGCAGCTGAGTGAGAAAGTTTTCCTTCTCTGCCTATTGCTGGAGCAGGTCAAGACCCTTGTTACCGACCATTTCTGAGTATCTGGGTGTAGCAGTGGTCCATGAGAAGGGACAGTGGAACCATCAGGACTGAGAATGGGAAGGGGAGAAGTCATGGTCAGTGTTCTTCAAAGAAGGAATGTTCCCTCCCACCACCCTCTCGCAGGTGACAGATAGGAAAGACATCCTTCTGCTGCTGCCCTGTCTTGAACAGAATCTCAGGCTTGGAAAGCAAACAAACCCTCCAAAACCCCACAACAAACCCCAAAGTCCTGAGAAGCTTGTAACTAAATGTAGTTGTAAAAATCTTTTTAAAAGACCAGTGCTTTCCATAAATATTATATAATACATTACTTATGCCTTCATGCTATTGTAAGAACTTCAGCACTCAGTCAGAATTCATCTGCAATGAGAAATAAAGCTTTCAAGTGATTTAATAAGCAAGCCAAAGAGCAATAGAATTTTTTCTTCTTTAAATTTTCACATTTACACCTGTAAGTTCTCACTCTAATAGTATTTTGGCTACATTATGGATGCTGTTAGTGCTAGTTATCAGATGAAAACGTGTAACAGAAGGGAGTGTATAAATCCTACATTTTCCCCTGGACTTTTTTGCTGTAACACAAGGCAGTAATAGAAATGAAGTAGCCACAGTCAAGTGAAATAGCCTCTACATCCCTTGGTGTTTCTCTGTTCCTGGCTGCTACGTAGCTCGTAGCTCTGATATTCATCAATATCACGTGTTTGAAAATGGTGACATGTAAGAAATGAAATACCTACCAAATTTTTTTGTTAACTTCCTTATATTCTCTATATCACTTCTGTAAGTCACAGGCCAGATTCTATTCTTGTGCATATGTTCAGTTGAAAGAGAACTAGGATTATGAACAATTTCACTTGAATTTTTCTGTAACTCCTTAGTACTTGTCTCTAATTGTATTTAGTATTCAATGAAAAAAAAAAATCAGCTATGCTGTAATTCTGACTTAAGTGCACAAGGGGAAGTGAGAAACTCCTGGCTTCTGAGATGTAATTATGGCTTTGTTTATTAGTGGAGTATTTTTGTGAACTTGTTTTTTATTTCTATTATTATTACTTATGCCTTGTTTTAAGCCACCTGTAAATTGTGTATTTTAATGGTTACTAGTTATAGATTTTTTAAAGTGCAGTCTAAATAAGAAAAAATTATTGTGTTACAACAGAATATACTAAGGGCAATTAACATCATTATTTGCAATGCAATTAATGCTACTTGCTCAGTTTACAGGGCTGATTCTAGTTTTACCATCTTATGCCTGGCCTAAGCCGCCAATCTTGTGTCTTTAAAGTAACAACTCACAGTTGCTAGGTGAGTGTCTGTAGTACTTGATTTTTGAGCAAGAAACTTTTTACATTCCTGGTTGACAGATGTTTGGGGCAGGGGAAAGCAAAAATGTTAAGTTCTGCACAAGCAGTCCAGTAAGTTTCTTACCAGTAGGCCAGGTTTCATTTTCTTGATACATGAAATGTAAAGTCTTTCAGGAACATAGAGGCTAAACCTTTGGTGCAAGTATCAAAACAGAAAGAGAGTTTTAAAAGCTTCAAACCAACTTTCCGACCTATGAAACTAAGAAATGCAAACTAAATGTCACCCTATGAGACCAGAAATGTTTTTCTGAAACATTCTCTTGCCATTTTAAAAACATTTCATTTAGCGAAAATGTGATTGCGTTCTTTTATATCTTTGCAAATATTGATAGTATGTTTGCAATGAACATGACCTCAGACTTTGGGTTCTTCTTTTTGAAAGATTTTATGGAAGGAAGATTGAAGTTTTTTTCTGGAGTTAATAGAGCTTTTAATCTGAATGAGGAAAAAAAAGGTAGAAATAAATGGTAGTATTCAGGGTAGCACAAGCACAATTTTTTCATTAAATGGTATTGAACATTTTCATGTATGTTGTATTTGCCTTAATATAAAAAGGATATTAAGTGAGCCTATTAAATACGTGCTTATAGCTACATTTTTTTCTCACTTGGAAAAATAATGTGTGTTTGCCCAGTGAAGTTTTTTTCCTTTTTTTCTGAAAAAGCTTACTTTCTTCATGAAGATACAGTGGCTGGCTGAATTCTGGACTTTTAAGACAGTTGGCAAGCTTGTGATCTTTAGGTGCAGCTAGACTGGGCTAAACTATAATTGTTTTATTTAAATTACTCTCATTTTTGATCCATCATAGACTTCACTGATTGCTAATTTTATTAGCTTCTCTTTTTCCCACTCCTAAGAATTACTGTCCATCCCACAGCCTTCTACATACTCACGGCCCCTAGCTAGTAATTGCCCACAGACTCACACTTGGCAAACAGAAACTGAAGCACTGATTTTTTTCTGCAAGGTTTTACACTGATTTAGGAGGTAGCTTAAAATAGCAACAATGCATCAGCCCACAGGTTTGTAAAACTCAGAGGGAACGCGAGCTTTGTGGGTGGTTCTGCACAAAGGTTAAAGTTTGGCCCTGGCTCCAGGCCTGTTGCATTCACTCCAGTTTATGGCCTGCATGATCACTGACACCGAACTCAGGCGGTCTGTTAACACAGCAAGTAGTTAAAGAATGGCAGCTAACAAACATCAAATACTCTGCTGAGGCGAGCAGCTCGAGAGAGGACGCCTTCAACACCGGAGCGGGGGGGCAGATCAGCGTCCAGGAGCCTCAACTCAGAGCGACGAGAGCCACCGAGGGAGCCTCAAGTCCTCGACAGGACCTGCCCAGGAGCCGGCAGCTCAGCTGACGAGAGCGAGCAGCTGACTCACAGGGGGCGGAGCCAGGAGGAACGGCGGCACCAGCCCTGAGTGGGTGAAAAGCTGACCCAGGGAGCGCGGTCAAGCTGGGTGGGTGGAGGGAGTTTGAGAGGGCTGGCGGGCACTCGCCGTATGAGCAGGGCCAGGCCTGGGAGGCTGCGCTGGCTGCCCCGGCTGCGGCCAGCCTAGGCACCCAGACAGAGCCGATGAGAGGGGAGGCTGCAGTGCAGGGCTCGGGGTGTAGAGAGTGCCTGCACTGGTCTGGTGAGGGGAGGGTGCGCAATGGGCAGGGCTGCACTCGGTGCTCCCTGGTGGAGGTGCTCCTGCAGCAGGGGCTGAGCTGCGGGATGCTGTTAATAGGGTGCAAGATGTCAGGGAAGCTGAGAGGAAGCAGGAATGCTTGCTCCCGGCCCAAACTGTGCAGGGGCCTCGAGCTTCACCTCTCCCTCATGAAGGAAAGAAGGAGGCCGTTAACCTGGGAACCTGGGAACTAGTAACAAAAAAAGGAGGAAAAGGACAATTAAAAGCAAGGGGCTTTCCCCTAGATCTGTTGTCCCCACCCAGAACCGCTTTGCTGTCCTGCAGGGGGCTAATGAGGAAACGCACTCGAGCCGGAAACAGCCGGCTGATGCACTGGTAAAGATCTCTACTGGTGCTGCCAGGAAAAAGCAGCGGGTCGTAGTAGTAGGGGACTCTGTGGAAGGGACAGAAGCACTCGTCTGCCGGCCAGACCTAGTCTCAAGGGAGATGTGTTGCCTACCAGGGGCATGGGTCAGGGATGTTGCAGAGAGGCTGCCTGCTCTAGTAAGTCCTGCTTCTGGTGATACATGTGGGTGCTGGGGATATAGATAGTAGTAACCTGGGGAACATAAAGAAGGACTACAGAGCCCTGGGGGAGGTGGTTAGTGGCTCTGGAGCTCAGATAGTCTTTTTGTCAATTCTCCAGGATACAGGGGAGCACCTAAAAAAGCTAGGACGATTGGCCAGGTTAATAACTGGTTAAAAGGGTGGTGTCATAGTCAGGGGTTTGGGTGCCTTGAACACAGGACCCACGTTTCTAGGCCAGGTCTAGTGGGGGCTGGTGGAGCTGCTCTAAGGGAAAGAGCAGTTTTGGTAGGAGGCTTGCCAGACTGGTCAAGGATGCTTTAAACTAGATGTGTTGGGGGAGGGGGGCATCATTCCATCCCAACACACCCAGTCAGTTGCCAGAGCCTATAATAAATGCTTGGAGCAATGTAGAGATATCCCAGCCAATGAGCCGGCTTCATTTGGAGCTCGGCTCAGATGCCTCTATACAAATGCCCATAGCATGGGGAACAAACTAGGAATTAGAGATGCATGCACATCTACAGGGGTATGATATAATAGGCATTGCAGAAACATGGTGGGATGGCTCCTATGACTGGAGTGTTGGAATGGAAGGTTACAGGCTCTTTAGAAAAGACAGGCCCAGCAGGCGGGGAGCGGGAGTTGCCCTTTATGTTAGGGATGGGCTGGAGAGTATGGAACTCTGTCTGGGGACAGGTGATCAGTTAGCAGAGAGTTTGTGGGTCAGGGTTAAAGGGAAAGCAGCAATGGGAGCTATTACTGTGGGGATCTGTTACAGACTGCCTGATCAAGAAGAACCTGCGGATGAAGCACCCTATAGACAGATAGGAACAGCCTCACACTCACAGGCCCTTGTTCTCATGGGGGACTTCAACCACCCTGACATCTGTTGGAAGGACGGTATGGCCTGGCACAAGCAATCCAGGAGGTTCCTCAATTGTGTGGAAGACAACTTCCTTCTGCAAGTAATAGAGGAGCCGACAAGGACAGGTGCCATGCTTGACCTCGTGCTCACCAACAGGGAAGGGCTCATTGGAAATGTGACTCTCCAGGGCAGCCTTGGATGCAGCAATCACGAGGTGGTTGAATTTGAGATCCTCAGGACAGTGAGAAGAGCGTGCAGCAAGCTCACTGCCCTGGACTTCAAAAGAGCAACTTTGGCCTCTTCAGGAACCTGCTTAGTAAGGTTCCATGGGAAATAGCCCTAGAGGGCAGGGGGCCCAAGACTGTTGGTTGATACTCAAGGATCACCTGCTACAAGCTCAGGAGTGTTGCATCCCAACTAGAAGGAAGTGCAGCAGGAGGGCCAGGAGACCTCCTTAGATAGATAAGGAACTGCTGAGGAAAATTCTGATGAAAAAAGAGGCTTATAAAAGGTGGAAGCAAGGACAGGTGGCCTGGGAAGAGTACAGGGATGTTGTCCGGGAAGCTAAAGACCAGGTTAGGAAAGCTAAGGCCCAGTTAGAATTAAACTTGGCTAGGGATGTTAAGGATAACAGCAAGGGATTCTATAGGTATGTAGCGAAGAAAAAACAGACTAAGGACAACTAGGAGACCAGTAACGAGTGGTGTCCCTCAGGGATCAGTGTTGGGACCGGTCTTGTTTAACATCTTTGTCGCTGACATGGACAGTGGGATTGAGTGCATCCTCAGCAAGTCTGCCGATGACACCAAGCTGTGTGGTTTGGTTGATAGGCTGGAGGGAAGGAATGCCATCCAGAGGGACCTCAACACTCTTATGAGGTGGGCTAATGCCAACTTCATGAAGTTTAACCATGACAAGTGCATGGTCCTACACCTGGGTCGGAGCAATCCCAGGCACAGCTACAGGCTGGACAAAGAAGAGATTCAGAGCAGCCCTGTGGAGAAGGACTTGGGGGTGTTGGTTGATGAGAAAATGAACATGAGCCAGCTTCAGTGTGTGCTCGCAGGCCAGAAAGCCAACCGCATCCTGGGCTGCATCAAAAGGAGCGTGACCAGCAGGTCGAAGGAGGTGATCGTGCCCCTCTACTGTGCTCTCGTGAGACCTCACCTGGAGTATTATGTGCAGTTGTCCTCAACATAAAAAGGACATGGAACTGTTGGAACAAGTCCAGAGGAGGGCCACGAGGATGATCAGGGGACTGGAGCACCTCCCATATGAAGACAGGCTGAGGAAGTTGGGGCTGTTCAGCCTGGAGAAGAGAAGGCTGCGTGGAGACCTCATAGCAGCCTTCCAGTGTCTGAAGGGAGGCCTATAGGAATGCTGGGGACGAACTCTTCATTAGGGACTGTAGTGACAGGACAAGGGGTATCAGGTTAAAACTTAAAGAGGGGAAATTTACGTTAGATATAAGGAGGAAATTCTTTCCTGTTAGGGTGGTGAGGCACTGGAATGGGTTGCCCAGGGAGGTTGTGAATGCTCCATCCCTGGCAGTGTTCAAGGCCAGGTTGGACGAAGCCTTGGGTGAGATGGTTTAGTGTGAGGTGTCCCTGCCCATGGCAGGGGGGTTGGAACTAGATGAAGTTAAGGTCCTTTCCAGCCCTAACTGTTCTATAATTCTATACATGCTACATGTGTTTGGTAAGTTGTTTATGTAGTAAGTGTATTACATCAACTTGGAGTCTTTTAGCTTTACTGACAAACTTTGATACGTTTCACCTTGCAACTGAGTTTTTATCTTGAAATGGGCTGTTTCTTCCCTTCTTCTGCCTAAGATTTCTTTCTACTTATACTTTTCTGTCTCTCATTCTTTTGAGTATGCTTATAAACACATCCTGTAACCCATATGTTTTTTTGTCATATTTGCAGAATGTTGGTGTATCTTTAAGCTTTAGCAGATAGGAAGAAATATCATACTCCCACTTACAGCCCATATGATACATTTACCAGACAGTCACTCAAACAATAGCCTTTAAGTCTACATTTCTTGTGTCTATTCTTGACATATCAGGAGCCTTGTCTAGAAATTTATAAATGCAGAGTCATTTCATACTACAGCAACTTCGATATAATTCATTCATAAATACTATCCAGAATTTCAAGGCTTTTCTGATGGGATGTGTAAATTCCAAGCATGTCAATAAAAGATTAATGTGAGCTTACTTAGCCCATATGTAGCTCAAGAATGATGGGTCTGACTCTGCTCATTATCTGACAAAAATGGAGAGGGATGAATATCTGACATAAGAGCAGGAGGTCAAGAAGAGACTTAAGATGGTGTTTAAATACTTGCTTTTCTAGAACATGGAATTATGCATAAGTGATAGGTTTAGTACTAGTGTCAGCTATCTCAAAGGCCTGGAAGTACAGACAGATGTTGAAACACAGCAGCAAGATCAGCAGGCTGCACTGGACTAAGCAGCTGTTTTTCACAAATACTTTGTCTAGGACTGTGATAATAGAAAGAAGCAGTAGCATGAAGTGGAGGAGGGATGGAAGAGGACTGGCATGGGTGTCAAGGTACCACAGGTGCAGGGGCAAGTATACCTCTGAACCAACTGGTATTTCCGTTGCTGAGGGTCTGATGGGAGCTGGGTGGGTTGAAGTCAGGAGAAACATTAATCCACTGTTGGAAAAATAGAAGTCTAGGTTCTTCTTGTTCATTCTTGTAACAAGTATATGGAGCAGGAGAGGTATACTTGGGAAGCAGATAGAGCTTTCTCTGTGGTGACAGTAGTGTACAGCGTCTTAATTTATATTTTTACTCAAGATGGGATTTTTAATAATTTCTGCAGATATTTTTATTTCTTATATGCAAGTTCCAGAACCTTGATAAATCTTAAGATAATATTTTAGTCTCTGTAAACCAAATATAATTACTATAATCAGATCCTTCACATCATGAAACAGAATACAGAATGAGGATATCGTCCTAATTTGTTTATTTTCCATTGAACTATTCTTAAAGAGAAGCTATGGGAAAAGCTTATCATTTGTTCTTGGTTATTCTTCAGACTATTCATTGACTATAAATTATGTAAGTGTATTCCCAGATGTACTGGAAAACAAAAGACTGCGTCACCCAGCAATGAGAGGTTGTAATTGTAAGCTTAAATGACATTATAGGCTATTTTTCCAAAGCATTTCCTCCATTTTTTGGAGGAGTCATTTTGCTAAGGATTCATTCCATTAAGAACTTTGCTGTTGAAAAGTATCCATCTTCCTTAAATATTGCCTGGTTTTCTGAAACGTCTTGCAGATGGGTAAAATACATAATTCTTTTTCTCTCCTGAAGAGCGTCTTTAAATAGGCTTAAGCTAAAAAACAGCAATGTACATGCCATCCCCACATCAGAAGCTTAGGGAGGAAGAATGTTGTCCTTATTACAAAGTATATGGAGAATTCTGCAAAGGTAACATGCAATTGCTCTAATTCAATTTTGGATGGAATACCTAATTTTTTTTTACTCAGAATAAAGGATGTGGCATCTTTATGGAGCCTGAAATCATGAAAAGTATGTTTAAACTCTGAATACTTCATTTACTTCAACAGGAAAAGATGTTTGCTGATCATGCTCTGGAGCTTTGGAAGGTCCATCATTACCACTGAAGACTGAGTTCCTAGGAGAGATGATGCAGAAGGTTGTAATTTAAATTGAGGGAAACATACCAGCAAACCAAGCCACATAATGAAGGAATAGGAATGAGGCAAAGATGGAAACACTGGGAAAAGAGAAGAATAGAAGTATTGGAGCAGAGGTGGAGTTCTGTGGGACTTTTTAATATGCATTTGTACTTACCAAAGGATATTAACTGCCAAACTTTTATTTTTATAGGAGGTTTATGGAGACTCATCTAAGAACAATTCCAAGTGATGCTTTTTCCAATCTCCCCAACATCTCTAGGATGTAAGTTTTGTTTCTGATATTATTCTTTTAGCTCTGTTATTTAAAATCACTTTCCTTCTCCAAAATTCTTTGTGTAGAATCTTCTGAAATGAAAATATTCTTGCACCTTTACTACCCCACCACTTATATTGTAGAGCTGCAGGTAATAACCCCATTGTTTATAATCTGAACTAACTATAGGAAGGCATAGTAAGTATTTTTGGATAAGAGCACACCTGTATTGAAGTAGATGTGATAAGGCCATAAAACTTGCAAAATATGAGAAATGGTTTCATTCATAACAAATGAACATATTCTATTGCTGGTCCTGGCTAAAAAATTGTTTCCTGCTCCCAGCATCATTTGTGATTCATTTCATCAGAGACTCTGGGGCATTTCTAGACTAGGGATGGACTTTCACCAAAACATTAGTATTTGTGTGATATAAGAGAGACTCCATTGAGTCACTTCTTTGTGTGTAAACACATGCACGGATACAACCTACATATATGCACAACAAGCAGCCTCTACCTATTTGCTTCACATCAAAATTTGTCCCATTGAAAGTAGCTACCCTTGCACTGCACTGCTCATCAATGTCAGCAATCTTGAGACAAAGTTGTCCCATCTTTGTTTCTTCTTGTTGGGGGCTGGTCCATAATCTATCAACCTGTGCATGGCTATTTGATGTAGGGAACTTCTCTGCCATCTCCCAGTTCACTCCCTAGAACCAGAGAGTCACGTAATTTAGAAGAGTCCTCTGAAGCCCTCTAGTCCACCCTCTGCTCAAGGCTGGGTTAACTATGAGGTCCAGCCAGCTTGCTTAGGACTTTATCCAGTCTGATGTGTGCACTGTCAACTAAAGTAACTACCTCTTTCAGAAAGAGGCTCACAGTTTTCTTGGTCAGCCTTTTATTACTAATGCAATATTCTCTGCTACTCTGTAACTCTTCTTGTTGACCTTGACATTCCTTGCAAGTTTCAACTTGAGCTGAGCTTTGGCTGAATGGCTGAGATGGACAAATACTTAAGAATTTATGAAACAGGACTTTGGGGGGACATAAAGGTCTGCCCAATTACATTTTACAGTTTCATCCAGGTATATTGAAATAATGAATTTCTAAAATCCGTATAAGTAATTGTTCTAGAATATCTGTGGCCTCATTCACCATATCAGTTTAATCAGATAGTGTATTATTTTATTACTGGGGGGGGGGGAGAGAAATGTCCCTAATATGATCTGTAGTACCATATATAAACCCAATAATCTTTGTTCAAAACAGAGTTTTAGTAAATGTAGAAAGATGTCAACTCTTTGGCTTCCAGTGACACATAATCCATTGCTTAGACAACTTCAGATTTTAATATTCTCAAATGGTAATATTTATGAATTTGTAAAAGCCTTGCATTTACTGCCACATGCAGATCTGCTTCAAGTCCTGTGTTCAGGCTCTTTCTGAATGGGCAGTGGCAATTAAAGTGTTATCTGCAAACAGACTTTCTCTAAAGCTGTACATCTGGTGTTTAAGCTATGACTGTATTTGCGATGGGTGTTGAAGGCGTTCTGAAATCCTGCAAATTAAACACAGCTGGTAGGGAGAAGAGGTGCTGAATTGTAACATGCCTTCAAAATGGGAATTTAAAGATGCTTTCCCTCTTCTTCTGATATAGCTCCTTCCAGTTCTGATTGATTGCTGTGATTTTTATTTCTTACATTTAACATGTTGTATTATGTGTTAATTAACCAGAGCCCAGAGGTTTTTGGAATCACTCTGAACACTTGGAAGTAAATGCTTATGCAACATTAATACACATTTATGTTTGACATTCTTGTCTCATAAGTCATTTTGAATGTGTCTGTGTGGGGTTTGGGTGTTTACCTAGATTACACTAAAGCAAGTAAAACTATTCATTTCCCTGTCATCAGTGATGATGTGGTTTAATTAATGTACACAAATACATCTGATAATGAAGCAGAAGTGTGTCAACACACAAAATAAACTGTTTCCTCCCCACTTTTGTCCCACAGCTGAAAGTTACAAAACTGTAACTTCATTAGTCCCAAGCCAGGCAGTATAGTGGAAGTGTGACATGCAGTGTAGTGGGAAGGGACATGGTGGCTGTAGGGGTAAGGGATGGGTGGCAGAATCCCCACTGCCGCTCTTCTGCCTTTTCTCATATGTGAGAAAAAAACACTTGCCTGCCTGATATAAGGTGATCCATTTTAATCAAGGAGCACATGAAGAGTACTCCTTCATTCCCAGTCCCAGCAGGAGGGTGCAGTATTTGTTTACTATGCATTTTTTATTTAATATTCTGTCAAGCTGGTTTATATACAGCTGTTTGCTCAACAGAACAACTTTTTCTTAATGTGTCACTGATATAACCTGTCTTTTAGTATGTTAAAATGTAATAATTAATTTTCTTTTGAGACTGAAACTCCAGTTTCCTGGGCAATAGACATTTATTGCTTACAGGAAAACAAAATTAAAACATCTCACATAAACATCTACCTGTGCAATACTCAATCACAGGGTACAGACTGGAAATACTTTCTTTATTGTATCCCTCTTTTATTATCTTCCCCCTTCTTAGAACAGGTAAATAGCTTTGTAAAAACAGTATTACTGTAGAATCTGTTGGTCATACAATCTCAACTAGTTACTTTTCCAGTATCTCTTCAAACACTGCTAAATACATCTCCCAAAGTGACCAATAAAAATTAAATCTCATGTTAGAAGAGTTACAATTAGTTCAGGTAGTATGCTTCTAGCTCTATTCTGGAGAGAACATAAGTTCCCTTGGAAAAGTTAGTGGTATTAGTCATCTGCAAGCTTTTAGTGCATTTGCTGGTCACAAAGTATTCTTTCCAATTATTTAAAACATATTAAATGTTTTTTAATATCAATTGAAAGAAAGATTTATCTTTAAAATTTCCACCAAAAAAAAAAATCTGATCCATCACTGATTGTAATAAAAAGCTCTCCTAAGTTAAATGGTCATATTTCAATTTGCTATTTATTAATTCTAATACTGTCATTGGAAAAACAGAATTAAAAAGGAGATGAGGCATATGATACATTATTTCTATTTATTATTACATTTTATTTGATTTTGACATCTGTAATTGATTCTACTCAATTTAATAATGATGAGGTTGCTTAGGGTGTGTTTAACCATGCAAAACATTAAAAACTATATTGAGTAAATAACTTTGATCAAGAGCATCAAAAGTACTTAAATATTTTAATATTAATGATAAATACAAAGAGAGCAGTCAAGTTATTTTAAAAGATCTATAGATTAGAAACGATATAAAATATTATTAGAAAAGTTATTAAAATACAAGAATGCATCTTTTAAATATTATTCCAACATTAAGAAATTTTAAAACTAAAGAGATATTTTGAAGAGAGAGTTCCAGTATTATCATCCTCCTAACGGTGGAGCGACTCTAGAACTGTTTTCTCATGTTTCAGTAGATCACTAGTGGTACAAATACTACTCAGTCTAAACTGTATGCAAGTATTTCTTAAGCCTGGTGTCTGGTTTTGCTTCTGAGCCACTTTACTCCTTACATCCTTTTTGACATTCACTGTAAGGCTAGAGTTTATCTCTAAATTAATGTCAGATAAATTAATGTTATTTTTTCCTCAGCAATCTCAAAGGTTGCTCTGATGATGTTTCTCTCTAGAGAAATTGCAACAGTTGTTTACAATGATGGCCCAAGGACCATCTTTGCTTCTTTCCTTCCTTTTTATTAATTAGATACAGATAAATATGCCAATTTACCTGAGGCCTAGATCCCCTTAGAGAACTCCAAGGTGATTTTAAGTGGGGAGAAGGAAAGAAATATGATTATGAAATATGGATGTTTGCTTTTGTTGCTTAATAGCACGGTTGTGGTTTTTTGATTTAACAGTATTCTGCAGTATACTGTGCATCTCAGGCATCAGTCAAAATCAAAATCCTGTTAAAAGTTCTTTCCTAAGACACTGTCTGTGTATCTGGAAATGTCATGGCAGTTGGATGAGAGAAGTAAAATGGTATGACAGGCAGTAATGATGGTTTGCCATGACCTGAGACTTGTTTCTTTCCCTGTTTGATGGTGTTTAGCTACATCTCCATAGATGAAACACTTCAGAGTCTGGAGGCCCATTCCTTCAACAGTTTAAGTAAAGTCACTCATATGTAAGTATTGTAAATAAATAAATGAATATAGTGATAAAATAAATTTGTGGATGTGTGGAAATATCTATCTCTGTCTCTCTCTCTCTCTCTCTATGTATATATATATATATAGATAGATAGATGTTTGAGCTATCATTCTTGTCTCCTTTGTAGCTGAATATTCCTTTTCCCATTTCCTTTCTCTGTGATGTTGAGTCAGTCTCTTTTGCTTTGACTTGTGCTCTCTTCCCTTACATCTTTTGGGATCCCTTGCTTTCCTGTATCCTCCGATAGAAGTGTAAGAAAGTGCAGTGAAAATTACATGTGACTACATTATGAGCTCGATGGCAAGTTGAAATAAACCGACAACTAAGAATTACTTTTGTCAAATTACTGAAGGTAAGTGTAAAACAGTAATATAAACACCAGAAATAAAATCAGAAGGACCAAAGCACAGAGCAAAATGGCACTAGCAAGACATGAAGAATAACAAGTAATCATTCTGGAAGTGCAAAAGTAAAATGAAGAGCGTTTATCTGGTTATTAGATGCAATGGGAATGTTATGGACAAAGGCTTCTGGGAAGTGTTTTTATACCTTTTTGTTCTGACCAGTCCTCACCAAGCGGTGCACTAGGGCAGTTACAAAAGTGGTAGGATACATGCATCCACAGAGTTCTTGTCATTCATCAGTACCCTGTCAAAATGAGAAGTAATGTACCGAATAGAGCTTTACGGGATCCATCCTGTATCTTCCATATTTCTGTTACTGATCCAAATGAGGGAATGGAAAGCATGCCAGTGTTGTAAAGCTCAGTTAAGTTGAAGCTTATCATATTTCAGAGAAGATTTGTGCTTGCAGATATTCCATGGGAGAGCACTGCCAGTCATCATGGGTCCAGAAAACATTGTCAGAGAGGAAAGACCTCTGTGTCCAGAAAGAGAATATACCAGAGGCAGATACATCTTTTAAAGCTGTTGCAAGGGGTGAAAGCTACAACCCATTTTCCACACTGATGTTTGACAAAGCAAAAGCAATACCTTTAAATTAGACTAGGCAAGGTTCATGTTAGACTCTAGGAAATGTTTTCATACGGCTGGCATAAGTAAACCCTAGACTTTTCCCTGTCATTGGAGACCTTTAAGGCTGTTTGATCAGAAACTCCATACATCTATTTAATCTTCACTCAGAGAAGAAGATTGAACTAGATGATCTCTTAACACTGCTCTATTTTCTGTTATTTTTTCTCCCTTTTACTTTACAGAGTGTGAAACAGAAAGGTTAATAAAAATGAAAGAGGTATCATTACTGTTATGGGTAGAGAAAAACTAATGTTGGAAAGTGGAACTACCTGTCCTAAAAGTACCTGACAGGCAAAGCTAGAAGTAGAGTCCAGGATCCTGAGCCCTAGTTCAGCCCAATAACATGCTCCTGTATAGTATTCCTGAGTGAATTTCATGGGAAGGCTTGGGTGTGATAAGAGTACATATCTTTGGTTATAATGCCATTTCCTCTTCTACAGATATTTTTTCTAGGCCTGTTGTCTTTATGTTCTCTTTTCCTCTTTCTCAGTTGTTGTGTCTTTAGAATTTCCCGTTCAACACAAATGAACAATGAAATGTTTACCAGCAGCGCATTTTATAAGCAATGAATAAAGTATTTGGTACTATGCACTAACAATTCCTCATGTAGTACTTGTGGTTCACCTTATTAGAAGTTAAAAATAAAATGCTCTTGGGTCATTGCAGGATTCTTCCATGCAATATGTAGTGTAGTATCTTGTCTGTTTTAAACTATATGGATAAAAAGGCTTCAGAGGATGGCTTGAGAGATAAAGGCTAGGTGGCTAAATGGCTGTTTTCTGTTCTTCCTGTATTAGATTCAAAGTGGAGAATGGACTAGAAAAATCTCCCTTGGGATCTTAATTAATAACACAAAACTCATCTCCTTCAAAGGGTAATGTAATGTAAGCCTTTGAATATCATGAGCTCTTCCACAAAATGCACACTCCAGGGAAACCTCAGGGAGACCTCACCAGAGAGACATCACCTTTATTATGAGGGTGGAGACCTCACCAGGGAGACCTCACCTTATTATGAGGGTGGAGAGGCCCTGGCACAGGTTTCTCAGAGAACCTGTGGCTGCCCCATCCCTGGCACTGTTCATGGCTTTAAGAAATGGGTCTAGTGG